ATAAGGATTTCTCATTAATTAAATTTAATATTAAATTATAACATTAAGCCATGTGTTAAAGTTAGTCTAACACTAGAATAATCAAGAAAACTAGCAAAATTTTCAGCCATTTCTTCCCTCCAAGCCGTGAGTCTCCATACAAGGTAAGAAAAAAATTTCATGTTCATTTTTAAGGTTACATGATTGATTTTTGGACTAAGTTGTGAAATAGAGAATTAATCTACATGAAATTATCTATCTTTTGGTATAGATATTAAATGGTGAACATGTCTATTTCATGAAATTGGAAATTAGGGTTTATATAGGGTTTAGGGATTTTGAAAGATTGATGAAAGGTTATTATGTTCTTGATGTTGGAGATTAATTCTAAGGCATGTGTGATGATTAAAACCACTTGACATTTGGTATAAGACTATTCGGCCATGACCTAGGATTTTGAAGAAAATTTGATTTGGATTAATTATGTTAGGGGTTTGACTTTAGAAGTTTAGAAATGTTGTTTAGAGGTTGAATTGATGCTTGAATCAAGTAGGAAATCATGGAATCCATGCCTTGTAGTATTCAACCATGGGGAAAATTTGGGGGGAGGGGGGAATATTGAAAACTTTCCTATGGTTTAGAATTGATATTAGAAGTGTTCTATGTGAATTAGAGATCAATTTGGAGTAATTTGAAAGCTTAAATTAAAAAATGGCTAATTTACTAGTTTTGAGAATGTTGGGACATTAATGTATAAATGTGAAATTTGATGTACTAAATGTTGAATTATAATGATTAAATGCTGGAAATTTAAGTTAGAAAGTTGATTGGAATCAAATTGCAAGTTAGGCAAAGTTGAGGGTAAAACTCGAAAAGTCTCAATATTGTAGGGACTTGATTTCAAGTTTATTAAATGTGAAAGTACCAATTGGGTAAAATAGAACAATGCTGGAAATTTTTATTAGTATGTTATTTTTTAATTAAATATTAGTTTGGGGATTGATTTGCAAGTTTGGTAAGGTGAAAGGTTGAAATTGAAAAGTCTAAGAAAGTTAGGATGAAATTGCAAGTTTTTAGATGTTTAAGTGTTGATTTGAATATTTTATTAAGGTGCTGAAAATTTTATGTGATTAATATGACATGATCATGATAGTGAAGGGCTATTATGAATTTAATGAAAAGTTAAGGTTAATTCTAGAAAGAATTCAAAATTAGTGGTTTAAATTATATATATTTAGCAAAAGTTGAAGGGTTGATGATGAAATTAATGTTTATGAAATTTAAGGAATATTTTGAGAAGTTTGAAATTATGATGGAAGTACGATTTAGTTTTATATTGATTTAAGTATTAATTTTATTTTTATCGAATTTTATATTTAACCTTAGATTATATTAGTTCTATACTAACATATAGTTTAAATATTTTATGTATTATATGACGTTGTCAGACCAAGATAAATCTAGTGGTCAACGTAACTCAAAAGGGAAAGAAAAAGTGTGAAATTGAGAAGATTATCGAGGAGAAGGCTCGATAGAGAGGCAAACGTGAGTGCATTTAATTTGTATTTATGACATCACACAAACGTTGGCTTGCGATGAGCCAATAACGGAGTTACTACAGTAAGAACTAAGTCCTAATATTATGTGAATTGTGATTTTAGCCTATATGTTCATTTATTAAACTTATAGAATTATGGAATTAAGTATACTAATTAGGTAAAGTTGTCTAGAAATTATGGTTCGAACAGTAAGTTTAGAAATTCAACATAAATTATACAGAAATAATTAGAGGATTAATTTTATACCTATGGATTCGTATATCAATCTAGTTTTGTCTAGAATAAACGGCTACTGATTTCGAGGCTTATACAAAAATATATGAATTTTTTAATCGATGATAGGCCAGAAAACATGACACCAGATTATGCTCAAAACAGCTTCTGTCAGTCAACTTTGAAAATTTGCTATTAATCGTACAAGTTGGACTAGAAGAAGTTCCTTATATGGTTAGATTTTTATTCGAGTTTAGTTTTCATTGATACTAACAGAATAATTTTTAAGTATGTATATTAATATAGAATAACATTTCTTTAAAGGTAGTGCAAACTGCAGAATATGAAATTTTGACGAATTACGTCGTTAAAACATTTGAAAGCAAAGGATTAAATCTAAAACTTAATGAGACTTATATTTTAACTTACAAATAAGTTTCAAAGTGAACTCAATTTATTTATTTAATTATTATGATTGAGTATGACTTGCGATAAGTCAACCTCATTTTATTTTCAAGTATGATTTATAACTTTTAATTATGGATGATTTATATAATATTTTCAATAAGTTTTATGAGTGATTTAGTGTATGAACTGTCCAAATACGATTTTATGATGAAGAATTTTTTAGGTTTATGATTTTCAAACGTTGATTAATTAATTATATTATGATAAATAAACCCATTGTATGTTGCATTAAGAGTCGTAGGTACATTTGACATGCCATTAAGTTGAGTACTTTCTAGTTATCAGCTATCATTTTTCAGTTATCTGCACTGTTTGTGCTCATATTATGATTACACTTGGAGTGCATTATATGTTTTATTATGATTGTCGTCGTGATGTTCCCAGTGTGTACCTTATGTTCTACTCACGTACCTTGTATTCTCTTACATATATATTAGGCTATACAAATAAATATGAAAGTTATGACATGAATATGAAAGAAAAGAATATGAAAATGAAATTAAAGTTCTGAAATATGTACGAATGAAAGAAATATGAATTGTTATGATATTTTATGTTGATTTACATTAATTTTGATAAAATCATGAGAGGATGATTTTCAGGTTTTCAAGGGGAAATCAACTTGAATAGCTCGCTTTGAAAGTTTTAAAGTTTTTATTAAAATTACAGTTTTATGTTATAATACTTTACGAAATTTATGTTCTATATCACTTTAATTATGTTGTTATCTCACTAAGTTTTACTTAGCGCGTGATGATTTTCATGTGTAGGTTTGAATAAAGAAAAAGGGCGTGAAGAGAGGGGCTTTCTGAGCATCTTTTGGAAATCAAATCTACCGACAGTATCAATAAGATATCCTATCTTTGACTTATTAGTGGCATGTACATTATATAATTGGTTTACTTTATTGAATTTATTTTAAAAAGGTTTGTAATACTAAACTATGACCATTTTATTTTGCTTAGTCTAGTTTTATCAGTATTTATGCATGAGTAATATATATATATATATAATGTTTTAAATGATTTACGAAAATACACTAAACTGTCTAATTACTGTTTAACGAATGGATTTATTTTCTACTATAAAACATTAATTTATAATTTTTAGGATATTAAAAAAATAGTTTAAGTTAAAATATGAGTGTTTTAAAACAAATCAAAATTTTAAGCATTTCAGTTCAGTGAATGTTTGTATTGTTATGTGACATATTTGACTTGTATTTCGAGACATATGTGGGATATGGATGTTACAGTCACATCGGTGGAGATCGTAACAAGTTGCTAATGAATATCTCACCATTAAACTTGATGGGATGGTACCAGGATGTGGATTAGCCATTAACGAGGTAAAATCATTACACGTTACTTGAGTTGGGCTGTCAATTTGATCAGCTTGTTCAACCAGCCCATAGTGAGAGCAAAATGACATATCACGAACCACAAACACTTCAACAAATGTGACATACATTTGTGTAACATCACCTGAATTTTGATTATGAGCATCGACCATCATAGCAACATCGCCATCGTTGGAGAGTTCGAACGTTGTATAAGTTAACGAAAATAGTGTAGTTGAAAAATCTGTATTGAAGTGAGGATAGTCTTCTAATACTTCCAACATGAACGTTCTTTGAAATTTTAGTGATCAGCTCCTCAAGAGTGATGTTTCTCTTGAAGGATAAGGTGATAGAATGATTTGGTGCATAAACAACGCCGGTTTCATCTTCCCGAATTTCTCCATCATAATAAACAATAGCTGAAATACGACTCATTTTGAGAGTTTGAGATTTACAGTTTGAGAGTTTCAAAGATTGAGAGTTAGACGGTTTGCGAAGTTTGAGAGATATAGTAGATGAAATTTTTAGTGTTGAGTGTTATATCTGTAAAAACGAATAAATGATTATAATATACGATCATTCCCCTAATTAAATAAATAATATACAATTTAAAATATAAACTAATACTAAAAAATTATCACAATAATTTAAATAATACAATTTAATATTATTACCTATAGATAAAATATCACGAGATATGATCCTTATCTAATCGTAACACCCCGCTTTTCATTTTACAACTACAAAAAATAATAAAAAATAATTAATACAATAAAATTTAGTAAATAATTAAATACTAAATAAATATAATATAATAAAAAGATAGTTTTATCTTCTAAAATATATAACAAAAAATCTATTTTGCTTAATAGAATGAATTTATAGAAGGAATAATATGAATTTAATTTTGTTGTGGTTTGATATTTGCATTCGGAGGTATTTATAGAAAATAGAGATGAGTTGGCTGTGATTTAAGGGAGAAGTCGGGTAATAATTAAAGGGCAATAATTGAAGATAAATAATAGAATGAACGCCCCGCAACACGCCTTCACAATTTCCCCACGATAGCGCATCATCAGAAATATTCCTTTCCACTGTGGCATCAGTTCGGATAAAACTTCATGAAAGCGAAGCCTCTAAAACACACCTTTCATCTACGTACATAAAATGCGTCTCCTGAAACACGATTTATTATCTCTCTAAAAAAATACGATAAATCAATAATATTTAGAGAAAGAGTATCTACAATTAATATTTTATATTAAATGTGATTTTTCGATAAAATTGCCGCAATTTATTCTTACTGTGTGTGAATAATTAATAAACACGTAAGAGCCCGCCAATTATAAATTAACAAAAAAGAAAAACGAAACCAAATTGTATTTAAATGAGTATCAACGAGAGATAAGGGAAACAAAAGCAGAACCTTCATTGTGTGGTGATCCTGGCAATGGCAGAGCAGCTTCCGGTGTTAGCAACGACGGAGATGGGAGGAGCTGGAGAGAAAACAATGAACAATCAAACCGCTTCAAAGCAATAGTTCAATTTTTTCTAGCTTTTCTCGTCCCATCAGATTCCCTCTTTGATGGGAGATCGTGTACATCCCATATTTCGAGTCTTCCAATGAATTTGTCTCCCCATTCTGCATATTCCTGACAAATTTTCCAAACCCCAATCTTTCAGGTAAATTTCAAAACCCAAAAAGTTCTTTATATACCTACATTTTATTTTCGCCTGTGATTCATTATTCGTTTGTTTAGCTCTGAAATGCCATTTAAAAGCTTTGTTCGGGAGATTGGAAAGATATCAAAGGAAAAATCAGGGACGAGACATAAGCTTCGGCGGGGTCAAGCCCATATTACTCCAGAAGCTTCTCTCTCTTCTTCACCTGGTTCTTCAACTGTACAAATCGAGCACCGTCAGTGGGAAAATTTGCCACCGGAATTACTCGTAGATATAATCCAAAGAGTGGAATCAAGGGAACAATGTTGGCCTGGAAGGAGAGATGTGGTTGCTTGTGCTTCAGTTTGTCGCTCATGGAGGGAAATTACGAAACACATTGTTAAGACACCTGAACATTGTGGATTCTTAACTTTCCCAATCTCTTTAAAGCAGGTAAATTTTAATTCTTTTTTCGCCCTTATTTTTGAAAAACAAAATCGGTTCTTTTTAGTGTTTTGTGTGTTGTTTTAAGCCTGGGCCAAGGGATACGCCGATTCAATGCTTTATTAGAAGGGATAGCTCAACTTCAACATTTCGATTGTATATGGGTCTCAGTCCAGGTAATTTTTTCTTCTTGAAAATGTGTTTTTTGGTTCTTTAAACTATCGGTTTTAACCTGGTAATTTGTTCATAAGTGATATTTATTTGTATGTTACGAATATATAGCTCTGTCAGGTGAATTGAGTAAACTGTTACTAGCAGCAAAAAAGGTCAGAAGGGCTACTGGTATTGATTTTGTTATATGTTTAGTTGGGGATGATTTCTCTAGATCAAGCAACAAGTATGTTGGAAAACTCAGGTAAGCTTTTTGATGTGTGAAAATAGTACTTTCTTAAGGATTGATTGGTTCTTTCTTTTGTTAAATTTTAAGAGTGAAGCTTTTAACAGATCTAATTTCCTGGGGACCAAGTTCAACATTTTCGACAGTCAACCTCCGGAAGATTCTATAGTCCGCTCCTGTTGTCAATCATGTCAAAAAACTCGTCTCGAAAAGTTGCCTTCGAGGGTAACTATGAATAATTATAACACTGCCAAGATATCTTATCAGCTCAATGTTCTTCGCACGAGAGGTCCAAGGAGAATGCAGTGTACCATGCACTCGATCCCCGTCTCAGCCATTGAAGAAAGAGAAATTGCTCCTACACCTATGGCAGTTACAAACTGCCTTGAGCATTCTTCTTCCTTGTTAGATTCAACAGGAATAAGACCACAAGTTGGATCCGATTCAACTGGCAATTGTACCACACTTAAGTCAATGACATATGCACCCTTAGTCTTGAAAAATAAAGTTCCTAGATGGCATGAACAATTGCAGTGTTGGTGCCTAAATTTTAAAGGACGAGTTACGGTGGCCTCTGTGAAGAATTTTCAGTTGGTTGCTGCTGTGGAGCCTAGTCAAAATGTTACAGTAGCTGAACAAGAAAACGTGATTCTGCAATTCGGGAAGATTGGCAAGGACATTTTCACCATGGATTATCGTTATCCACTCTCTGCCTTTCAAGCCTTTGCAATCTGCTTAAGCAGCTTTGACACAAAACCTGTATGTGAATAACAGTTCTCTTGTTCCTTGTACTGGCACGATCATTCTAGCGTTCACTACAATGCGGTTGTAATTTGTAAATATTCTCTTTGGTTGTACTTTAGGCTAGCCATTTCATAGGCAACTACCTTTGTTACTCTACAATTCTGTAATTAGGACTACAAACATCTGCTAAATTTGGGTATCTGTAGATATTTTTGGAAGGCAAACTCCAGAGGACCAAACATCCCCTCTGAGCATATAGCTTCATCACATTCTGCAGCCTTTATATTTATTTAATATTACGAAATATCCAATAAATCATGAAAATACAGAAGGCACTATGGGTCTGGAGCTTGATTATGGACAATATAACATCTTTATTGTGTGTATAATAGTCATTCTCTATATCTTGTTTGCCTATGCTGTCTGCAAACTGGTAAGTATTTATTACAGAGTTGCAATTTATGTTACCATAGAACCCTTTCTCCTTTTGTTTGTTCTTCCCCTCACAGCTGTAGCGGCAACCATGTCTTCGAGGCTTTATGGGATTATCTGGGTCTGAGTCACTTGATTCTGCAAAAAGAGCTCTGAGGCATCTTCTTCTTGCTGTAGGCTCACGTGTAAGCTTCTCCGCTGATGTAATATTAAATTCAGCCTTGCGTGGTTCAGTATGCTCTGCCTTTGTACTGGACTTGATTAATTCTGCTAAATTGTGTAAAAGTTCAAGATGAACACCTGAATTTTGTGCATTCACTGAACTTTCAGACACAATTGAATTATCGATGCTTTGTATGTTATTATTGACATATGCTCTTGATGCTGGATTTTCTTTGGTTGCTGAATCCTTAGGCGTCCTTCCCCTCGAGCTTCCTTCTCCATCAGTGGTAGCATCAGGGCTGTCATCTGGGTTGATCTTATGACCCCGGTGAATGTGCACTAATCCACACTTTTTGCTTGATTCTGAACCCAAGTGAAAAGACGCTCCTCTATCCTCACCTGCAAGGGTTAGAACACTGATCGATTGTTGTTCTGTAGGCAGCTGTGGCTGCCCTGTGGTGAGTTTTATGAACAAACTTAGAAATATCTTCCCTTATCTCGTCATGCAAGGGAACTTGTTTCCAATTTGAAGAGGCATGCTTTTGATGAGCTTTATTTGGTGTGCTCTCATTTTTTGGATTCAGCATAGTTTTCATTTGTTTTTCATCAGTGCTTGGTGTTGTCAATCTCTTCTTTGTTCCAATTCCTTCCTGCTTTTGCTGGTGCCGTTTTCCTATCTCCGGGGCAGCCTCTAACTGCTCTCTGGTTTTCATCTCACCATCATTTGCTGCAGCAAGGAGTTTAGTAACTGTTCTCTACTTGGGCTCTTCATGAGTTGAAGCCTTTGCTGTTTCTTTCCTGCATTCTTCCGCATCCGTCTTCCTTTCTGCCCTTCCTTTCGGCTTTAATGATGCTGAAGGTGTTTCTGTAGTTGTGCCAGTAATTGGTGCAACTTTTTTTCGTCTCAGTTGTTGGAGATTTATTTGGTGGAGACAATGTTTTCACTTGATTGGCTCAATGTGATGGAGAAGAAGACTGCGGAGATGTTTGGCCTGTTGGCGGAGATGTCAAATGGGATGAAGATCGTTGCTTGGAGACTGTCTGTTCTGTTGATTGTGGCTGGGAAACAATGCGAGATGGAGGGACCGAGACAGCCCTTGCTTGTCTGGGTACCCAAGACGGTGTTCGGGTTTGCGAGGTGTCCAGAGTTTGAATTGCTCCACGAGATGCTGATACCGGCTGAGGTTCTTTCTTTCGGGTGGGTGCTTGAGCATGGGTCGGAGGGGTCTGTTTTGGGACAGTCCCTGCAGGCCGAAATGGTGGTTGTTGGACAGGGATCGTAATCTTCGGCTGGGAAGGGGTTTCAGTTTGAGCTGCAGGATGTGCAGCAGCTACAGGACGGGCAGCCGCAGCTGATGACAGCCACGAGAGTCGAAAACAGAGAAATTGCCTCTGCTCTCCCATGTATGATAGCAAGAAATCGGAAAGAAAGAAGAGAAAACAATGAATGAGAATCAAGATGGATGGTGTTTGAGGATGATAAAACTCCATATGGTGTGGGGTATGCATATATAGGTTTGAGTCTGATGCCTTGGAATGTAACTTTCTTCCTGCTATTACAAAAGGGCATATCATTTTTATGAAACATTCTGGATTCTTAAAGTAAGCTTGTATCTTGTCTTGTCTGAAAGGGATAGCATCTGGTGTTTGTTCATTGTTGCCTTCATAGGCATAGTTACTTACGTTCCATATCTCTGTTATTCTTTTCTTACAGGCATAAATCACAGTTCCACCCACGTGAGTCATGTTTCTCTCACGAGCATCTTTAAGGATAAGATCAACATAGCCTTATTTGTCATAATTTGGCCTAATTATGGTTTTAATTCCTCTACAAACCTAAAATTTGAGATTGAATTCTTCTACTTAAATTTGTCATAATTTGATCCATTTGCTCTTATAATGTTATAAGCAAAACAACTATGGCTAACGTGATGGCATGTATTTTATTATAAGAAAATTTCATTTTAAAGTCAGCAGTAAACATTTATATCAATTGGGATTTGGTATATACTAACAGAGGGATCAGATTATGCTGAATTATAAGTAGAGGGATCGAATCTTGGATTTCAGAATAGCAGAAGGATTGAAACCTCAATTACATCTAATAACAATAATACTGCAATGTAAACAAGCGTAGAGATCCGTTCAACATGTATTGTTGGTTTCATGCTTTAATTCCATGGAAGCAAGGAAAAGAACCTTCCCGGAAAAAGCAAAAGCAGAGCAAGGTTTCGGTTTTCCTTTGTCTAGTTAATCAAGCAAGAATTCCTTTCCTTAAATTTAAGAAACTTCAAGGCAGTATTCTTGGATAGAAAGGGCCATCAGCTTCATTGTCAATTGTCAAAGGCAACTTCCATAGTACCGATAGAAGCTGCTTTTCTTTTCTAAGGTATGCAATTCTGAATTACAACGTAAAACATATATATACACTTTTAAAAGTTATATGTATGTATGTATGTTTGTAACTGATCATTGGTTTACAGTGGCAACATAATGCAAGGGCTGATCCAAGGACTAAGATCATGCTGGCAGGAAAGGATTAAGGTAGCAATTATAAGGCATTCAGGAGGCACTAGTAGCAGTAAAACCATGATGTCTTCTCAATCCATGGAAATGGAAGAGAAGGGATTAGAGAACATGACGGTAGCAGATGTGTTGATGACAAAAGGTGAAGCGACCGTCGGGTCATGGATTTCGTGTCGCATCAATGACAATGTCGATGATGCCATGAAGAATGTAAGTACCATGCATCCATTACAACTACCACCCTCTGCTCTGCTGTGGAATATTGTTATTAAAAGGAAGCAAGTTTTGCAGATGGCACAACACAACATTGGGTCATTGGTGGTGTTAAAACCGGGAGATCAACAACATATTGCAGGGATCATCACTGAAAGAGGTAAAACAAATAATTAGCATAACAAGGAGTTTCAGTATGAATATAATTATCGTCTTAACTTGGTAGACTACCTGAGGAAGATCATTGGGCAAGGAAGATCGCCAAAATACACGAGAGTGGGGGAAATCATGACCAATGAGGTATTTTCTCTCTTTCCAAACACTTTTTTTTCTTTATTGGTGTTTTTGCTACCATTAGACCTGGCATTTGTGAAACAGGAGAAGCTAATCACGGTGAAATCTGATACAAGCATTCTTCAAGCAATGCAACTTATGACAGGTAAGGTTTGTGTATTGGATGGTAATTTATGAGAGAATGTCTTGTAGTTTTGTTATACAACGGCTTAACCTAAAGTTAATTTACGATAAATTTTAACTTAAAATGTTATATTGTAGTAAGTTTTGACCTTAAATGGTAGTTTTCTTCTCTAAAAGTTATACAAATGGTATTAATTTCAGTTACAACCGAAAATTTCTTCAATAATTACGCAAGTTTTATGATTTGTTACGGAGAACGTAATATTTTCGGTTTCAAAATAAAATATTACCCAATTTGTTCTAAAAAGTAACCCTCTTAATAAGTTTATTCTAATGTAATATTTTTCCGTTACAACCGATTTATTTTTTTAACCTTATATTAATCGATTGTATTTTAGACTTATTCGAGCATATCAACTCAGTTTCACTTTGATTTGGCAACCAGACAATCACATACGGCATGTTCCGGTGATAGATGGGAGACTAGTGGGCATGGTTTCTATAGTAGACGTTGTCCGGGCTGTGGTGGAACAACAAAATGGAGAATTGAACCGACTCAACAGCTTCATCAAAGGAGATTACTACTAAAATTACTTTTTTTTTAAATGTATAAATCAATAACGTCGAAAATTGTGCAATGCATTGCAACAGTAGATCAATAAAAAAAAATGAAAGCCATGTTCAATGCCTCAAAAGAAATTAGGTTGACAAACAAACAATCAGAGCTTTATCTCACTAGTTCATCAATTACATACCCACTTGCTACTGGGTGTACTGGGAAATTTAGCTAACCATCTTATTCATCTCTTGCAAGCAAAGGATTCTAACGACTAGGTTATCTATTTGAGGGTCTTCTTCTCTGGCTGAAAGTCTGAGATGCCATTAAGGCCATCTTCAATTGCTCCGATACCTTAAAGCCCTTCGCCTCCATTATCCCATGTATCCTTCGAGCATCGTGCACAAATCCGCCAGCAACAAGTGCATTTATAGTTCTCTCAAACTCATGGGGACCCAATTCATCCTTCCTAGCTTCCAAAACTCCAAGAGCCTGAAGAGCTTTTTTCTCGATTCCAGCCCTCGAGTACATATCACAGAGGCTTACATGGACCTTTAGAGGAGGAACTTCACCAAGTTCCGCAATCTTGCCCAATAGTTGTTCGACCTCATCAACCAGTTCCAATTTGCCAAACCAATCCAGGAGAACAGAATATGTTGCTATCCCGGGTTCGAAACCATCCTTCTCCAGCTGCATGAGAAGGTCTAAGCCCTTCTCCAATAAATTTTTCTTCTCATATGCTGCGATCATGTTGGCAGTGCACTTGTCATCTGGTTTGTGGCCATGTTTTATCATGTTGTCAAAGTTGCTCCTAGCTTGATCAGGATCACCACCTTTCCCATGTGCCTCAACAAGTAGTGAAAAATACTCTTTATTAAGTTGGAATCTGGAAAACTGCATGGTATTCGCAATTTGAACAGCTCCCATACAATCACCACTGTGAGCAAAAGACCGGAGTAAAGCCATGTGAATCTCCTCCGAAGGTTTGATGTCTCTTGTTTCCATCTCTTTAAGCAAAGACTGACCACGTCGAGGTTCACCAGCATTAATGTATGCCGTTATCATTGAGCTGTAGATCTTCATATCCGGCAGGAAGCCATAGCTCCTCAAGCTTTCAAACGCTTCTTTAGCACGGTCAACATTACCCACCTTGCTATACATGTGAACAAGAATTGTGGCAGTTAAACTATCAGGCATTTTGCCACTTTCAACCATCTTCCTAAGGATTCTCTCGGCACCTTCTACATCAGTCTCTTTAGCATATGCATCAATCAGTTTGGTATAGTCACTAGCACTTGTTTGGAAAGATTCTTCACGCAGGACCAGTTCTGCAATCTATGAATATTCAACATCATAATAACAAGTTCAGAATTTGTTGGTCAACTCACATTTTACAACGCAAATGCTCATCTTTAAATGTCTTATTCAAATAGATCAAGAATAGAAAACACTTCCGATTAAATACAGCCTAAAATTAGAGAAATTTTGATTAAAAATATACATATAATTTATGAAACGTGAAATAGAAATGCATATGCCTAGAAACCAAATTCACTGGACCCTTTCCATTAAGCGCAAAACTCAACTAATACCGCCACTTGATAATTTTCAAAATAAAAATATTATTAAAACGATCAATATGAAAAGCACAACAATATCAATGATGGAGTGTAATAATAAAGAGGAATTCAGAAGGAAAGAACTTACGGTATTAGGCCCGATTCTCTAGCTGTTATGAGCAGATAAAAGTGTTTCAACAATAACACATAGCTATGAACTTGCGCACACATATATTATAATATATCACAAACTTGCATAGAAAAACAAAAACTCAATACCGATAATCGATAATAAGACTTATAAATTATGTAATAACAGGAAAGTATCAAGCAAGTTATTGTGAAGGCACGGGCCGGACAAGAGAAAAACTATACCTTCAAGTGTACGTCGGGATTTTGTTGTTCCAACTTTTCAAGCAAATTGATCCAGTCAACACGAGTTGGTTGCAGAAGTTCTATCCATTCAGCCAAAAGCTGTGAAGGATCATCCTCCTTTTTTAATGAAAGGATTTTTTCCAAGACCAATTTACACTTCCCAGATATTGGCTTTGGTTCCTTAGGCCAAATCATTTCCTCCCTCTCATGGATTTTATCAGCCACTTCAGCCCACTTAGGATCCGACATATCAAGTCCGTATATCTTATACTTAATATTTCCCTTTCTTTTCGGAAGAGATGCAACCTTTGGTTTATCCTCTGTTGCAACAGCATGTTTATCTAAAACATTTCCAACCTTCTCTTGCTTTTTATGCCTAAACCGTTCCAAACTCTCATAAAAATCTTTCTCCTCCATCTTCTCTTTTGCCCATTTGAATCGAAGTTCCCTCAACAAATCCCCACGAATCCCAACTTCACCCGCAAACCTACACATTTCTTTCACTTCATCCGATTGCAAAAACAGTTTCATCTTCTCCTTCTTCCTCGCCTTCTCCATATCCTCCAACACCATATTACTCACTTCCCATACAGTCCTCCATAAATCTTCACTAAATTCCTGCGACGGCATCCCCACTGTCGAACCGACCATCTGCTTAATACCACCCTTCTCCATCTCTTCCACAACCTTCTCCACAATAACTAAAAGCATCCCATCAATTGTCTCCTTATTACAATCCGTGTATACTTCAGTTAACTTCCCTCTCATTATCCAAATGAATCGAGATAAGAACTCGTTCACAGTTCCATCCTCCTCATCATCAGAGTCATTAGACACAAGTTTTGCTTCAACACCAGCATAACTTAGCCTAGTTTCTCGGGTTGAGTGAATATATCTAAGAAAAGGGCAAGTGGGTATATGGTTTTTAGGGTTTTGAAGATAAGCATAGCTTTGACCGCTACTTACTGGATGGAGGGATGGAGATATTGCGGCTGAAATGGTTGACAAACCCTTGGACTTAACAGAATCTGGTTTTGCATTGATTTTTGATAAATTATTGATTGTTTTCCTAAAAACTGAATGCTTCAAGTTCATGTTTACTCTACAATAGAAACCAATAAACTGATGCCGAATTCCTCAGAAACTTAAAGAAGACCAATGAAAATACTGATTATAAAATGCAAATACCTGGGAAATAAACAGTTAGGGGTGAAATGAAGCAAGGCGATTAAGGGAGATGAGCCAATCTGTTTGGTTCTCGAGAAAGGTGGGCGCGGGCGCAGACGAAGTTTGCCCTGAAAGTAAAGTGTTGAAATGGACGGCTTAGATTTGAAGGGTTTAGTAGAGGGACAGATCGGAAGGGGAGATGAGATGACTAGGGCTTCTGCTACTCATTGTTTTTTGTTTTTGTTAGAGAAGATTATTAGTAGTCAGTAGGGCGTAGGAATGAAAATGAGACGAGATAGATTGTGAGTTATTTGAGATTGATTCGATCAAAGTTCGATAAATACTCGGATCGAATGGACTCGACTTGAGCTCGAGCTCGACTCGAGTTCTTAACGAGCCGAAACGAGCTATTCGATATTCGACTCAAAAAGCTCGTGAGCAACTCGAAAATATAATATATTAAGATTTTATTTTTTTAGAAATAAATTATTAATAATATTAATATTTATGTATTGATTTTTTTATAAAACAAAATACAATAAGATTTTTTGTATTTAAGGTTTATGTTCGAGTTTGAGTTTGAGGCTTCAATCGAGTTAAGTTTAATAATTTTTTTTATTTCGAGCCTTTTCGAGCTGCTCACGAGCTTCAGTTTAGGATTTCGAGTTCGAGTTTGAAAATTTTAAGCTCGCGAGTTTTCGAATCGAGTCGAACTTCATTTCAAAGTTTTCGAATCGAGTCGAGCTCAACAGTACTCGAACTCGACTCGACTCATTTACACCCCTAGTAGAGCGGCAAACGGACAGTTTCGGTGCAGCCTAATTCAATTAATGGGGTTGGGCTTTCTTTTTGCCTTTATTTTGGGGGGGGGGGAGAGTTTTCTAAACGGCTTTTTCTTTTTCTTTCCAAAATATTAAGAGTAAATCACAGGATTTGTTCATTTCGTTTTTGGTATGTCTTATTTTGGTCATCCATTTTCAAAAATTACGTTTTTGGCCATTTTATTTTCGATTTTGTCGCTGAGTCGTTAACTTCAATTAGTTTGAAGATAGGACATGTTAGTAAAAATGGATAAATTTTAACTTGATCTTTAAGTTTTAAACAAAATACTAATTTTAACTTAAATTTTAGATAAAATATTAATTTAATTATTAATCTTTAGATAAAATATATATTTGATCCGTGAATCCAATCAAAGTTCTCACTATTGATCACCGCTCATCACCATCATCGGTCACTGTCGATTTTCATCATCGATCATCGTTAACCACTGTTTTCGACAATTGTTGAATCCTAGACTTTTCACTTTATTATTTTTTGACCTCCTAAATATATATTTGATCCGTAAAATATAATGTTTGTTTTATCGAAAAATGTCTAATCTTCATAAATTTGATTTAGAACCCTTAAGCAGTTAGTAGACTAATAAAATATGTTTATTATGACCCAAATAGTGACAGTAAAAGAGGATAAATTCTCTCTTATATCGTTTTATCGTACAAAATATATAAATGTTCTTTATTCTTCAAGAGGTGAAGCTAAAATAGCTCTATGTTCAAACTAGGGGTATGCATTTTTTGATAAGGATATTATTATTCGATCCAAAATTTGGATCACTTAAAATTATGTTTTATCAGTTGTTTAAGTCTGATTTCTGTGTTTGTAGGTTTGACATGGGGGAAATTCTGCGTGATTTAGAGGATTTGACCCTGGGTGAAGAGGAGAAGGTTAGTCTGGTCCTAGTTTCATCGCCATCTCTCACTTTTATTTCTTTTGATCATTATTTTGTGGGATGTTTCTTGTCGGCGAGCATGGTGAATTTTCAGGCAATGAGAGTGACTTTAGCGAATAGTTGGCAACCAATTGGGGGATTTCTATCACTGAATTGGGTGATAGTAGATTTTTATTTCGGTTATTCCATGAGGATGGCGTGAATCGAATAGAAATGGATGGTCCATGACACTTTAATTCTCATCTCTTAGTCATGCACAGGATGAAACATGGGGAAGATTCGATGACGGTGAAGCTAAATTGGGGTGCGTTTTGGATTATAATCAATTACCTACCGGTTGGGTATTTTTCTGAACATGTTGCACAACAATTTGGGAATTTTATTGGTAAATTTGTTGAGTATAATTCTGCGGCTATTGCGTTGGGTCCTTCACTTATGCTCAATTTCAGTACGAAAAACTAAGAGTATAATTCTTCACTTATGCGTTGAGTATAAAGGGAGCATTGGGGTAAGAATTCTGTTGGATACTCGGAAACCTTTAAAGAGAAGGAAAAAGATTGTGTTGCGAAACGAGTCCTTCACTTATACTCAATTTCAGTATGAACAATTGATATTATTTTGTTTTAGGTGTGGTAAATTAGGGCATGGTGAAAAATATTACCCACTTCGAATTATGCATGATAAGAAGGATCAGGCGCTGTTGTGGGATGATTCAATTCGTGTTGTTCCACGAATGAGGGGGATTACTACGAGCCCATGGTTGTGTGAGGAACAGGGGAATGGAGAAGTCGGGGCATCTAGGGTGGCTAATCCTAATCAGATTTTATATCAGGGCTTAGGTGCCAAAGAGCAAATAAAATCTTGGGTGTCTCGATCTTTCCCGGCAGCTAATGTGGTAGGAGAGGAGAACATATTGGGGATGTCACAATGGTGGCGGTGGATGAGGAGAATAGCATTTACATGCAGAATATGTAAAGCGACATAGAAACGGTCCAGCAGCCTCGTCTGGTGTTGTAGAATTAAATGCTGGAGGTGAAGTTATATCGACAGGCCTGAATGATCAGGCTAGCGGGCATAATGAAACTTTTGAGTTGGAATATCTGGAGGTTGGGGATGACCCGGACTGTTCAACGTCTCCGGAAGGATCTATGAGACATTAATCCTCAGGTTGTTTTCTTTATATAAACAAAGTTACAAGGTTTATGGATGAAGAAGGTACGAAAGTCATGGGGTTTTGTAAATGAAATATAAGTGGATTCATAAGGCTCTAATGGAGGGCTATGTTTTGCGTGGAAGCACACTTGTGATGTTGTTTTGAGATCTTTTTCTAGGTCGCACATTAATGTTTTTATAACTGATACAGACGGATTCCAGTGGCAGTGTATTGGGTTTTACGGGGCACCAGAGGAGAATCGTCGTCGAGAGTCATGGGATCTTCTACGACAACTCGATGATAACCAAAATACCTCTTGGTTAATCATTGGGTACTTTAATGAAATTTTGTTCACATTTGAAAAGGAATTTGGCCTCGTTCGTAATGAAATACAAATGGCTAATTTTCGTGAGGCTTTAGATTGTTGTAATCTTATGGATGTTGGGTACACGGGCACCTAGTTTACTTGGGAGAGAGGTCGCACGGCAGAAAATAATATTAGAGAATGTTTGGATTGGGGTTTGGCAAATATTACGTGAAAGACTCTTTTCCCATACTATGAATTAAGACACCTTAACCATTTTTTATCGGATCACACTGTCCCTTGTTACTAGAAACGGTTGTTCATGGTGGTATGCTCTGTAGGTGTCATTTCAGGTTTGAGGCTTCTTGGATGTTGGAAAACTCTTGTGAGGACGAAGTACAACAATTATGGAATAAGTATATTGGTTGTTTGTCGGAAAGGCTCAATTTCGTGAGTTATAGTCTTGATGAGTGGTTCAAAGGGATATGTAAAAAGAGGTGTTTCACTGCTACTGTTCTTAAGATGAAATTGAAGGCCATGGTTGAATTAGAACCAACATACAAGGTATTGGGTGAAATAATAAACATAAAATTGCAACTTAATCTCGAGTTGGACAAATCTGAATTGTACTGGGAACAACGTGCCAGGGTGAATTGGCTAAGGTTTGGTGATAACAACACTACTTTCTTTCATCATTTTTCTTCCAATATACGACGTAAGAATAAAATAATAGCCCTCGAAATGGATGATGGTTTAATTATTGATACAGAGGTTGGAATAGGAGATGTTGCTAGAGATTATTTCTTGACTTTATTCACATCCAATGTGAGGCTGATGGATGATAGAATTATGAATGGAATAGCCACTAGCATTACGACTGACATGAATATTGAGTTGCTTCGACCTTTTACAATTGAAGAAGTTTCGCAAACGGTGAAATTGATAAGCCCACTTAAGGCAGTGGGTGAGGATAGACTTAGTGAGTTGTTTTATCAACGATTTTGTTATTTGATAGGTGGTGAAGTTGCTGATTTTTACATTAGTCTTCTGGGGTAACGTTTTGATATGAGAACTATAAACAATAATCACATTGTATTGTTACCAAAGATATTTAATCCAACAAAAATGGCTCATTTTCGTCCTATTAGTCTCTGTAATATCCTCTACAAGATTGTGTCTAAGATGTTGGTTAAGAGAATGCAGAGCTCTTTACATTCATGTATTGACGAAACTCATAGTGCTTTTGTATCGGGGCATCTGATTACAGATAATATAGTCATAACCTATGAATTACTTCATTTGTTTATACACAAAAGGGAGGGCAAAAAGGGATATTTCTCATTGAAACTTGACATGAGCAAGGCCTATGACAGAGTGGAGTGGTGTTTCTTGTGGGAAGTAATGGAGAAAATGGTTTTTTTCGCTCATTAAGTGCAAATGATAAGAAATTGTTTATGTTATGTTACATACTCAGTTGTTCTAAATTGGGTGCCCGATGCTTCTTTTAGTCCATAATGAGGTTTGAGACAGAGAGATCCCCTCAGTCCATAATTATTTGTAATTTGTAGTGAAGGCTTATCTTCCTTGCATCGTTTTTCTATTGATCTGGGTTTGTTTTAGGGTGTTCGTATTAATAGATTTGCTCAGTCGATTTCTCACCTATTCTTTGCAGATGACAATCTAATCTTTAGAGAGGCAGTGACAACTGTAGTCGTTCAAATCAAGGAGATTCTTCGTGTATATGGAGAGTATTCAGGTCAAGCAATCAATTTTGATAAGCCGACTCTCTTTTTTAGCTCAAATGTAATTGAAGAAAACAGAGGGGATGTTCGATGTATAATGAGAGTCTCAGTACTTTGAACCTAGAAAAATATCTGGGGTTACCGACCATAGTTGGCATAAATAAAAAAAAGTGGCATTTGTTTATCTTCAAGA